AAAAGAAACCATACTACCCATTTTGATTTATATTTGTTAAAATCTTTGAGGTATTTATCTATAATAAAACTCTTAACTTCACCCCTTAAAAAGGTAGGTATAAATAAATTGTCTTTTCAAATTATAAATCAAAACAAATCACTTATTTTTTAACGAATTTTATTTGTCATATAAGTATTTTTTAATGAAAAATTAACAAAATTTATTAAAAAATAAGTAATTTATCTTAATTTATTATTCAAAAAAATAATTTATTCTTATATTTTTTTTTTAAGGGTGAAACTCTCCCTACTCACTTTTTTTTTAGAGTAGATTTGGGGCTTTTACCTTTATCTATTACCTGCCGAAATTAGTTGGGACTTGTACATCAAGGGAAACTATACAGATTGGGAAAGGTTTGGTTTCCAATCCACAGCCAACCAGCTCAAGAATGGAGATTAATTGGACAGATAAGCTAGTCACCATTGATAAATTAAGCAGAGTCCCATCCCAGCCCATCCTTAAAAATGCATCACTACTACCATATACTAAGTGACAACATAACATAAGAACGACCGGATCACTCTTCGGACATCAATAAGAATCAGTTGCCATCTTTAATAAATCAACCCAAGTTATACACTAGTGCTCCCATGGAATCTTGTATAAAACATTCCCTTCTTGTTTTCTTCTATCTGATCTGTTTGTCATTCTTCGTTGCTGCGGTGGAAGCTGTGACGAAGCCACGGCCATTCAACAACAAGGTCTCAGCTGTTCTCGTGTTCGGAGACTCCACAGTAGATTCCGGGAACAATAACTATGTCAACACTCTTTTTAGGGGCAATTTCCCACCCTATGGGAGAGACTTCCGAGGCCACAATCCCACCGGAAGGTTCAGCAACGGGCGGCTCACCCCGGATTTTATTGGTAAGTTTTGAACGTTGGTCTTGACTAAGGTATAGTAGCACCCTTTATCGGCGCTACTTCTTTTTTTTTTCTTTTTTTTTTTATCAACTAAAGATAAAAGATTTTATTAATATAAAATACAAAGAGTAACATCTAAAACAAGTAAATTTTATCCGCACGGCTAAAGCAACAGTTTCGAGATTAAGATCAAATTGGGTTTTTTACAGTCAATTTTAATATGTCATTTTTTTAAATTGAATTTGACTCATGAACTTAGTTTGAATGTGTGATTTTCTGCATTTTAAAGTACAGCTTCATATGCTGGTGTCAAGGATTTTGTGCCGCCATATTTGGACCCAACACTTACCACTAAGGAGCTGTTAACGGGAGTTAGCTTTGCTTCTGCCGGCTCCGGATTCGACCCGCTCACACCCGAATTAAGTGTAGGTGGCTAAATAAAAAAATATTAATGCATTAATTAAAATTTTTAGTAAATCAGTAAAAATAATATCTTGAATTAATATGCACCCATATTTTAACTTCTTTTCTTTTATATACGTTCAGAGCGTAATTTCAATGCCGGATCAACTGGAGTACTTCAGAGAATACAAGAAGAAATTAGTGTTGGCCATCGGAAAGAAAAGAACAGAAGAGCATATCAAGAGGGCAGTGTTCCTCGTTGGTGCCGGTACGAATGACTTCGTCGTCAATTATTTTACCTTGCCAGTCCGTCGAAAGACCTTCTCCGTCACAGATTTCGAGAAATTCATCCTGCAACTTGTTACGGATTTCATCCAGGTCAGCTACTCTTTTCACCATCATATCATATTTGGTAGCGAATTGAATGACAAT